AGCTTTCTGCCAATCTTGCGGCGACTTACAGTTTCGAAACCTGAGTGAGTTTGCGGATAATATTTGTACCTGACTATGTAGAGTGCATTTTACTCCTGATTGGCTCATTTTTACAAATATTCTATTTAGGTGCAGCACCTTGCATTTACTCGGAGTGGAACGCTCCAAGCAAATCAAAGTAGCTTTTAGAAATAATGAGGACTGGTTCGTTTTCCATTTTTATCGGGAATTTTTGTTAAAATCTGAATTCCTAAACAGCATCGCTATCAAGTTCCTTCGGGAAATGTGTCCGTTAGTTGTATAAACCTCGAAATGCCTCAATAGTGATGGACGTGAGGAGAGCGAATGATGGCAACCAAATTAAATTACCCCCCCCCTATTTACTTAACCCGTTTTGATCAAAAGAAAGGTGTTATCCTAACAGCCAAAATATGAAATATCCCAGACTTTCATGTTTTTTTCCGGAAGATAGAATTTTAGGCAATCATCTGGAATCACTAAATTTCTCTCCCTATACCTCATACCAATCTTTATCTGGTGTTTACAACGCATGCCAATTTTATTCAATGTATAAATACATGAGCTGGACAAGAACAGGTATTCCTCATTGGAGTGGTCCTACTAAATTATGATTTGAGCAACACGTCACTGTGGCCTCCTCAAACCAATTAGAGTTGATGGCTAGCGCTCAAATCCAACCAGTTGATTACGCGACATCCTAAAACATTTAAAGATGATGGGACAACCTTCACATGGTATGGTATTTGTAATAGCATGTTTGAAACATTTACAGTCAACAAACTTCATATGTATCAACCTTTACCATGTTACGATTCAAGCTGATTTCAACCTGCCATTTTTGATAGTCAGTTCAACTTCCTGCGCCCTAATTAAGCGATTTGTTTTCGACGCTTTCACTCATCCGATTACTTGAAGTCCAAACTAAACTGCTCTCATTGGTTCATTTCATGACGTATCTCACAGTATGAGGATAAACAGGTGTCCATCACCTATATTTCATCTTTATGCACATATTTGTTTGCCCTAAATTGACTCATCATTCATAAAATAAATGAAACATTACAAGATAAAGACGAGGTCGAATAATACCATGTACGTCGGTAACAATTTATTATTTATTCAGAATGACCGAAATGTTATTACTTCTCTTACCAAGTTGCAAAAGGCTTTACTAATAAGCCTATAATGTTCATTTTTTCAGTGACATTGACACAGCGAAGGAGAATCCTGGAGCAATAATAGCTATTACTTGCGACTGATCGTGAAAAATGCAGTAATTGCAGTAGATGAGCAATTGATCTCATGCATTCATCATTTTTCAACTGAAAAGACTGATAAATCCTGTGCATTTGAATTCGTAAGTAGAGCGCCATCGAATCATTTGAAAAAATGCAAGTGTTCTCAATCTCAATCGGTTCATAACCATGACCACCGAAAAATCTTGTTTTTCTTTTGTGAATACGGGTAAAATAGCAGATATCAATAGATTCATTTGTAGATATCATAACAAGAATGCAACTGACCAGGATGACCCCAGTAATAAAAAGCATAGTTTATTTGTTTGGCACTTTTTACTGTTTCCTTCCCCTCCCCTTGCCCCCGTCCCTCAAAAAGACCACACCCATCAGCTCAGAGGGCTATCGCTATCCGCCTCCTCCCCGACCCACTCCTCAGTGGCAGGACAACAATGTGATACACAGAGCATCCGGGTTCACTAATATATTGTCTTCTTGTAATCTGAAATAGATTTTCTCCAATCGCATGACGTAATAACAGTTGATAACCGTCAGATTATAATTTATTTTCACATGTTCTAGGCTTTGTTGCAGCGATATGATATTTTCATTTGTTTAACAAATGAGCAAACATCGCTGACAGGAAATTAGTATACCCTCCATGCCATGAGTTAATCAAGTCAAATTATAATTGAAAAATAAAAACTGGCCTGATCAATTGCCCGGTGGCCGAGTGGGTAGGCATGCTTGTGTTCTGTCCATGAGGTCCCGGGTTTGCAATCCCCAGTTCGGTCGGTGGATTCGCTCACTGCATGGATGAGACCCAACTAGGTCGAAACAGCTGACCAGTGTTTCCTAGCCTTTTAGTTCACGCTGCATTTTCCATATACACTAAGAATTTCTACTTTGAAATTGAATCAAATCCTCCATTACTCATCTGAAGTCAAATTATGTCATAAGTTCTTCGGAAGGTTCCTTTTTAGTAATTTTGAAGTATAATGTTGGGTCATACAGAGCTCCACTGAGCATCTGTAAGCTTCACGACTCAAGGCAGTGTGAAAAATCTTCAGGGTAATCATCAGTTTGGGGAATGCGCCAACCCTTTTCTATTCACACTTATGGTGGTGGTGGTATTGGTTGTTGTTGTAGCTTTTTGAGTCATTCTATAAGGATAATCATTTCAACCTTTCGTGCTCTCGTTATCCTCGTTCATGTTGCTGTTTTTTTATTGGTTCTAGGAGTACTTGGCACAGACCAACAGTGAGACACGCATCGAAAAATCAGCTGGTGGTGGCGCATGTGTCAGTCGCGACTGGCAATCTGCCCCTTTCATGAAATTGAGAAAGCAATAGCATGGGCAAGGCCCTCCGCACAAACAGGGGTCACTGCTGTGTTAATGTAAGCACGTCAGGCTCTTACTCCAGCTAACTATTTTCTTGTATTACTCCACCAAACAAAATAAGCGCAGACAATCACCGAAATAAAAACTAATTTCACTTTGGTTCCTCTCCTCATTATGAGTGCTTAGTCAAGTGCGTTTTACGGCTTTTTATCTTTTAAATACAATGTGTGAGACTCCAAGGAACAAACATATGGAAATTAGTCATATTATGACATTTTCACTGTTTTCACTACCATTAACGCCACAAGATGATATTAGTTCAACAGTTTGAAAGAGCGTCTTTGGAAAGCACTCCGATTTACTTCAAAGAGAATTTAAAAATAAAATGGTTTGCTTACTATAGTTCTAGTTTTGGTTCACACGCTATGCTTCCTAATTTCCCAGAGAGTACTCCAGTGAAATGTTGTGTCGACTGAGAAACCATTTGACAGCTTGTTTATCTTTTACTGGACTCCTCAGTGATGCATATTACTTTGCGTCTATGTGGGAACTCGGATCGCGAACCTTTGGGATGGATACTCGAACCACTTAACTATGAACTGCAAGGTAGACAATAAATAGATTGTAGATAGATTGGTAACCAACGTGTGCGAACATCATTGTTAAAAGTCTACACATAAGATTCTTATCGACTCCACACATCCGCTACACAAATATTTAAATTCCTGTTGTTCTCATCCGTCAACTATAGATACCAATATCGTTGTGTTCCACCGGGAATAAACATATATCGCAACTCTGCGGTACCCGCATCAGCACTTCGTCTATAGTTAACAGAGAACCGGGTTTTACAGAATTTGGGAGCAGTTTGGGGATTTAAATGTTTTCATTTATTGTTATTTTTTATATTTTCCCCCTCTCTCTAACTTGTTTTTTTATAACTGAAATGTGGACAATATGCCTACAGAAGTTATTACAATAGCAATAACAGTAACAGTTTACACCTGGAATGTAATGCAATATGAATTCTTCATGCTGTTGGTTACTTTCATGCAACTTTAAAAACAATTGCATTTGCTTATTTCACCCCGGATAAAATATGGTACGCACTGCTGATGAGTTATAAAAAGAGCAAACCGCTATCCAGTGTTCTGTATCTCCTTCATACGTATCCTTTAACAACTACAGAATGGAATCATTGTTTATCTGGAGACAAATAAAAACGTTCACAAGCAGCTATTCTTTGCCAGCTTACCTTCATCATTAAAATTAGCGTGTTTATGGCAATCATTACCATGATGTAATATTCGAAAGGAGTGGACACAACCAATCGCCATATACGATACTTTAATGATTGGCGATCTTTTGGCATGTACCGACACAAGGGCCGCGCGTTGATTGCGAAATCGATACATCGTTTCTGATTGGGCATTGATGTATGAATCCAATTGAAAGGGTTTAAGGCAGGGGATTGGGAGTGTAGAAAAATGTACGTTAGATTTATGAATGAGACGGGTGAATTCATGTTATGTTCAGACCAGTTAACCCAAATAATACTGATAATATTAGTAATAATAATTACTATGACGACATAATATGGACGTGGTCCCTAAGACATACAAAATCTCAGTACAAAACTGGGTCGTTAGTGGTAATTGGATCAGAACAGTTCCGAAATATCCCTGACGAAGTATAGCACGTTCTATTAGTTTACCCGTCCTCCTTGACATCTTTCTTATTCCAGACGAAATATCCGGCCATGCTACAAGCCGACCATTTTTATCTATGAACTTGTCAAAGATAACCAGATTATGCCGTCTCATTCTGTGTACTCATTTATGTGTTCTTGTAGAACAAAGTATATAGGCCGCACGGTCAGGTGTTTGTCCGAACGAATCCGTGAACACCACTCCGCATGTCTAAATACGGGACTGATTAGGTCGCTCATCAGTGCAGTGATTTCACACGTAGTTGAAACAAATCACACTGTTCCCTTTGACGATTTCATGAGGGCAAGAAGAAGCATCATGATCACAGGATTAGATGAATTCAACTAGTTCGTGGGCGGATCTCTTATCAGATCCATATTTCACAAGCCGACATGGACGGAACAGTATCTTAATTTTAGAAGTTTCTGTCCAATACAATACAAACGGTCGTTGGTGCACAGTTTATTCTCTAGACCCAGGA